ACATTTCCATATGATCAATCAATGGTTCATCTTCAGGGCATTTTCCTTTTGCTTTGCTTTGCTCCACTGCAAGCAGAACCGATTTGTACTTTGTGGCAGGCAGTAGGGTGAGCAAATAATTTTGACTTTTGTTTGCTTGGCGCCTGAAATCGCTGCTACACAAATCAAAAGACGCCATTTACACATCAATAACTGCGTCCTTGAGGCTTTGGCGCTTTGGGCATGAGTGTTCAACAGGACGAAGGCGTTCAGGCGACGTTCTCTTTTGCATGTTGAGTTCCTCTTCGAAATGAGCCCGAGAAGTGAATGCGTGAAATTTGTTCCTCATTGATTGATACATTAATTTTAATAATTCATTGCCCACTGGATGACCGATGAGTGGAGGTGATGGAATGATGGCATATCATACCGGCCACTTCAACTTTTCTCCTCATGTCCAAGTTAAGATTTGAGTAAGCAATTATCGGTTCTGTTCCCCATGTACTCCTATCCTGTAACTTTTTGTCCACCGATGTATTTTGGCCAACTCACATACAATCCTACCTGGCTCACTGAATAAAGTCACCAGTATGTAGCAGATCCACGGCGAGGCACGCAGGACAGAAGCCCAATTAAAGCTCTTGGTGGCGAGCCCACCTCTTGATGATCCATCATACCATTTCAATTAAAGGCTTCTAAGAAATGATTAAATAATCACAAGCCGGCTAATGGAGCCATATATCCTTGCTATTGAGGACGTTGGTCAGCGGCTCAGGAATGTCTGGCCAGTGCCAGATGTTTCGTGTCGATGCCTAAATGAGTAAGACAGATGACAGAAAGTCCGAGTCTGCAGTCAAGCAAAGAAGGGAATGGTCATAAGTGACTGGGGTGAAAAATAAACACCAATTCATCATGAGGTTGATAAGATTTTGGCCACGGCATGAAACAAATGTTTTTGGGGTTTTTTTTTTCAATGTGAAATGGAAATGTATTCTGCCAATGTATATTAAAAAAAAAAAAAGAATCCCCCCACACTGCCACCCGAGGCATAATCACCTCCACACAAACACGTGCACATACTGCGTTTCCATCTTATCTTAAGCCGTGAGTGCTTGTGTTTTGACAGATATCAACAGAAATGGAACCAAATCTTATTTACCTTGCGGCATTTTCATACCATTGTGGCCCTAACCAACCCCCACCCCCACCTATGTTATTATTATTATTTATTTCCTCACTATTGTCTCGTTACCCCAGTTGCAGATCTTACACTGAGACAACAAATGTTACCAATTGAGTGCCAGGCAAAGAGAAATAAGGCTTATTTTTATCTGAGCCTGAAATGTGCCAAGTGTCCAAGAATAATCATACTGGATTTTTTTCGAACCTAGCCAATTTTGCTGTGCATGAAAGTGCATTTACAGCATTTGTTGGAGTGTAAAAATCACACACAATCAATGCTGGAAGATTAAAAAACAAAAAAGAATGTATCTTGCACAAAAATTATACACTAGGGCCGCAATATATATATATGTTATCTGCCACATAATGTAACAATGAGCGAGTGCGTGCATCAGATGCCTTTGTGAAGCCGTGATATTGTGAATTTGGCAGACCGCCTGGAATAATTAGTCTTGCCCTGGATATGACGTGCTGTTGTGTTCCGAGGCCTCGCAGAGCATCTCGTCTTTAGGTCCTTTGGCTGCCAATTAACTCACTCGCACAAATGTCCTCGCATGAGCCTTCAGCTGTAATCTCATTACAGATCGGAGTGTACGCGCCTCATTTATGCGCGTCTTCAAATGGTTTGCAACATGTTTTGCAAAAACAGATTTGCCTGCGTTCCTCTCAGAGAGGGCCACATAACACCAATGGCGAATTGTGATGACGCCATCTCTTTAGTGGAGTGAGTGCAATTATCGTGTACTAAAGTAGAATAGGTTAGCGAGGCAGGTTTTAACAAAAAGTGAGTGAAGTAAAAAGTGATTTTCAGGAAAAATAAACATCGGAAGAAATCCTCGACTTACAACGAAGTTGAATTCCAAAGACACCCGGTGACCCAATTTGGCACACAGGTCGGAGCACACCAAAGACTATCGCTTGGGTAGGCTAACGCAGTAGTAAAGTCATAACTCCAAGAAAACGTTTCTCCAAAAACAGTTTTAGGCCAACACAAAACTAAACTTGATAAAATGAGAATGTCAGTGCATCAAATCATTGGTCCTGTTGAAAACGCTTGCGATCCAAAGGACAGAGTTATGATCTGCTAAATTTGTTGTTTTAATTTCCAAGGCACAAAGTCCGCCCACAATTATAGTATTTTCACACCTTTCAGAGTACTGTCACGAAGTAAAATCCGTTATGCTTAAATTAAAAATACTGAACTGGTAGAAAAAAATAGATTGGTTATTTACATTCATCCCTACATCTGTTTTCTCGACCTGTTGTCATTACGGTCGCCGGTGAGCTGGAGCAAACCCCGGCGGACTTTGGGCAAGTGGGCAGGGGACATTAGACTGTTGACCGGCTAGCCGATGGCGGGGCTTAAGTCATATACATTTAATTGGCAATCAATTGATTCGCCACGAAAGCCCCCCAGGAGTTGAGCCGAACACCGCAAATGTTTGATTAGACTCAGCGCAACAGAGAACGAAGCGACCGGAGCCAGTTATGCATCGCAGAGGAAGCGAGATAAACGCATCATCCTCATCGCTCTTGCGCGACGATTTCCCACTAGTGGGTCTACTTGATGAAGTGCCAGATTCCCTCCCTGTTATTCTCTGTGCGCCAGCCAAGTGTCCACATGCATGAGTGTATTCATCAGTCAGGTGGTACCAGGCTGCACTCGGTCTTTTTTTTTTTTTTTTGTTTCGGTGCCCAGGTGTGAATGGGATTGAACTGATTTATCTCCTTTGTGCTGCTCCTCTGTGAATGATGATGAGAACCAAATGAACTGAGGGCACTCCTACATCCAATAAACAAATGATAAAACGTGTTTTAGCACACGATTATGTTGTGTATCCCAACCTGGACATGCTATAATGCACATAAGTCCAAGTCCTTATGTGATTAATGAGTCGTTCAGGAAATCAAGGCTGATTCGGGGCCGATGTGAAAGCCCAGAGGAAAAGCAACAACTTAAAAAAAAAAAAGAAATTAAAATGACAGGAGGTTAGAATTAATTACACTAATCAAAACAAAGCCCGGAGCCACCATCGCAGTAACCTGACATTTTCCTTTCACTGACATTTACATAAACCACGTCGCCAGATGGCTTTCCCGTTTTTATGTCGAAGGTCTTCATCAAGAGAACGAGAGAAACGGACATTTTTGTACCACAAATGGCCTTCGCACTTCTCAATGATGCCATCAAGAGTGAAAGACCGAAAAGAGACGCAGCTCGTAGCTAAGACAGAAACATTACAGAAATGTCAGCGACCTAAAGCCAAGTAAATATGAAATTATGACTTCTTATCATTTGTGTTGGTGTCTGCTAATTAACTGTGCTTTCATTTATTTGAGACTATACCATTTTGTCAAAGGTCAGCACTGTCAAGCTGACTTGTAATTAGTCACTGCAGTTATTGCTTACCACTATTCTGTTTTTAAGGGAGGAGCCTAAGTTTACCTTCTGCCAAATTAATTTGTGAAATGGTCGGGCCCTTACCCAGGTGATTACACCAAACATTTTCTTAATCCCTGAAAACCACGAAGCATCCCTGAAATTTCAACCGCAAGCGACGCACACTTGCTCAGTGAGCAGACTCCACTACCCGCTATAAGGTGTCTGCCTTTTGTGAGCGTTAATTGGACATGATATCTTAATTTGCACACATATGCAGCAACAGAGTAATTATCGAGAAATGTTCCAAAGACTAAGCAGAACATAGTGAAATCACCCAACCGCCTGTTGACGGGCGTATGAAAAAACAGCTCATTTACAGACGGTGGAAGGCTGTCGTCGTTGAGTAAGACTTCTCCACTGGCCTCTTGGGATGGGGTCCACTGAAATTGATCACCGTCACTAATTATCCCTGTTCTAAGCCACTCGCAGAGAAAAGCGAAGGATGAAGTGCAACAAAAAAAAGCACTGGCATGAGAGCAAAGTCACGAAAGTGGCATATGTCTGGGCTGCAAGCCACCCACTGATTCGTGTGTGCGTCCTCTCTGTCAGCAGTTCTCAACCTCATTTTGTGAAATACTTTTTTCAGCCAAGTACCCCCAAACCAGCACAAAGCATTTTTGGGATGAAAACAATAAAACGACTCAAAACAGAGTGCTGGTCTGCTTTATTAAACTTTGGAGCTCAATTTGTTGTGGTTTCTGGAGAACTATCTGGAAATAAAAATGACAAAAATAAAATAAAATATGATAGTTAAGAAATTAACTGTTTTACGATCAAAGTCGCACATTGCACTGTAGCATAACAATGCAAGCCTTTAAGAGGCGTGGCTCAGTGAGTACAGTCAGGAGTTCTGAGTCCAGCTCAGGTTGAGTTTGTGCAGTTTGAGCATATTTGACGTCTATCCCTGCCACAGGGCAGATATACATCTGCGCTTAATTGCAGTTAGCGGACCAGCGCTGGCTCATCTGTAACAACCTAACTTGGAAGCAGGGATCATGACCCGACAACAAAAAAGATCTGCCATGGATTGCAAACAATGACCCTGGTGCTTGGAATGGTTACTGGAGAGATGCTGGACAGATGACAAGCTCCTTTACTGCCGAGGTGTGGATTTGTTGCTCAACATCTTAACGACACATAGCGTTCGCATTTGACGTGCCCATGCAAGATATACGCAAAGTAATTATAACAATGATGGCGGCAGTGAATTGGGGGAAACCTTGCTGTTCAAGATAACATTTCTGATTGTTTACAGTCCAAGCCAAATGTTCACGTTCCCACACATTTGCTTCCTCTGTTACAATATGGAAAACTGACCCAAAAAAGGAATGCACCCGAGAATATTCACCCATGTGTGTAAGATAATATGCAAAAAAAAAAAAAAAAAACCTACCAGTGTGCCCTTTCGTTCAACTTGGTGGAACAATGTTGCACCGCCGAAGACTTGAGATCATTGGGACATCTTTTCAAACCTCTTTGTTCCCGGTAGGCCTTGTCAGCGGCCTTTTTGCTCACGTTTTAACAAAGTGCCGGCCTGCCACGGGCTTTTAAGAACCTCGCAAAGAAAATATCGTTAGGACAGGTTACATAGTCACAAATTCAGAAGCGTTGTCAGGGCTGTCAAAACGATATCTGTCACGCACCGCATCGAAATGTTTTTGTTCTGTCCCCGATGTGTGGCGGTCCCTTGGTTTCAATAGCAGGCGTCGACATGGAGCTGTGGATATTTCAAACAAAGGCAGAGGGAGAGGAGTATTTCAGTTACCGCTGCATTTGTCTTGTCATACGAACACGGAGCCGTCCTCAAAGACCGAATTAAACAGTCCAAGTAATTACTGAGCTTCAATCCAACATGTAATTCAACACCCATTTTAATTACAGCCACTAGCTACTCAAGCATGGTGGTGAATATGAATTCAGCAGTATCAACAACATCCATTCACCGCGCCACACAATATGCGAACAATAGGAACGCAAGATGAATGTGACCGAGAGTGAATCTATGCATTTTGGATGCACTGAATGAAGGCTGACTGTGAAGAACGCCATCAGGCTTCCCGTCGGCGGTTTATTTTCAGCACATTGTTTTTGCTGAGTGCAAGTGTATAGTGGTAAAGTAGCTAAATAAGTAAGAAGGCTCCCCCCGCCAAACCCAAGCTTAAAAAATGACCAATCAATTGAATAAATTGACTTTAAATTGGAAACGTTAGGGGGAAATAACATCGTAATTGCTCGTACGGAAATAGTTGATGATCGAGAGGGCCGGCACATACATAGAGTGTGAAAGTAAACTGCCACGACAGTGCCAACACATAATTTCTCACCCACGGCTGATCTAATAGGGGCATGGATTTGTCACATTCAAAGCAAAACTACAAGGGCTGGAACATTATGTTAAAGATAAAAGGTCGGCGGAGCTGCATTGAGTTTTTGTCGGATGGTAGCGTCAGCTCGATTCTGATATGGCGCAAATACTTCTGCTTGGTGAAGCTGCTGATGCACTATTTGCGTTGGTTAATTTGCATGCACAAAAAGCACTGATCCAGACACGAATTGTCAAGTGTAATTCGGTGGCTCGGGAATGAAATGATGTTTAAAAAATCCTTGCCAGATACACACTTATCATTGCTATAATAACCACAAGAATAATTACAACAAGATGAAAACAAATAGGATCTTTTAGAGGTGTGGGGATCAGAAGACAATTAAAATAATTGCCACCAGTGGCCAGTGGAATAATGTGAGGATGACCCTCAGGTAAATCAAAGAGTCAGCACACGCCAACAAGGTAACTTATCAGTTTTGGTTTACTTCTCTTCACTGCCTGGTGTTGAGACATGTGTCTTGCTCCATGTGCTATGACCGTCGTCAGCCATATCTGAAGTGTCACCTGAAGTGTGTCTCTATGTCATGTGAAGGTACATCGAGTGCAGTGGCATCATACCAGATATTGGAGGCTGTTCAATGATTATCCGTAATGCAAGGTGCCTTTTGTGTATTCTCATTTCTCTTTGTTGAATTCATTTGCTCACACACATTTCTGTGGTTGAAACGTCTATCGCCAGATCGCAAACTGAATTGAGTCATGGAGAGATTGGACCGAGCTGTACCTGAACTGATTGGAAAGTGGCCTAGTGAGGATACATATCCTAAGGGAATGGAAGGGTTAAATAATTTGCTAATGGCTTCTCGTATCCGGCTGCAAGAGACCCAGCTGTCTTGGGGTGCTGGAATAAATACTGGTGGTCCAAATGAGTTGGCTGCAACATGAACCGCACATTTTTCTCATACATACTCTTTGGCCCTGACCATTTCATTTTGGACCACTTGAGAAGAAAACTGGTTCCAGGTGGGTGTTGGCTAACAAACACGGGGTGTAATTTTGGTGTGTGTGTGTGTGTGTGTGTGTGTGTTGGTGTGTGTGTGTGTGTGTGCGTGTGTTTTGAGATGGTCCATGAAGGAGATGAATGATCGAAAAGTCTGGTGAATTGAAAATATATGTGCTCCAGTTCCAAGTGATTTATTGCAATGTGACCTAGAAAACATGGCCGTGTGTGTGTGTGTGTGGGAGTGGTGCGGATTAACAGGGGGGGTTGCGCACAAAGAAGAGAAAGCATGTTTGGAATGAAAATGATAACTAGCACACTCGAGCTAGTCAAAAGATAATCAAAGGGAATAGCAAATCTGCAAAACATCATTATCACGATTGTGGCCAACACAATCCGGAGAGCTCCGGTGCATGGATTGACTTGAGTAGGACAATGGGGCTCACTGGCAAACCACTGAGGAACAAATAACGGTACGCTATACACATCAGGAGGAAATTTACTCTGAAAAAGCAGAGAGCTGCTCCAGAAATAAAAAGCACCTCTTTTATTCGACGCATCAATTTGCATTCGCAGTAAGTAAGAGTGGCCATTGTTAAGATTATTGGAGGATGTGACATGTGACAGAGGTCCACCGGGGTCCAATCTAAATGGATGGGAAACAATAACAAGTGCGACTGATTCATCATGAAATGAGACCGGTGTAGACGTTCCTGATAAAATGAGAACATTTCTTTCATTGCCATTGGCAGCTTTGTCCGAGTAATACATTTTTATTTCCAATTGTTATTTACATTGCGCCGTTTTGGCAAAATGGTTTCCAAATCAGAACAAATTCTCATCACTTTCTTTTCAGTCTAGAGCCAACTGACTTAATGTTGATTGGCCAGAAAGCGACAGTTTCAACTGGCCTCGGTACACATATTTTCTACTTTTGAATCAGCTGAACTTATATTTGACCTCAAGTCGTCAGGGTTGTTTACTATTTGTATTCTAACTTCAAAAGCATACACGTTTATTTATTAACCGATGTGTATGACGGGAAAGAATCGTTCTTACTCTCGTTGAGATGGAGGGCCACGTGAGGGAGGGGCTTATGATGCCCTTTGAACTCCTCCTTCCAGACAGATGACTGGTTATTAATTCATCTATTCTTTTGAAAGGAGTGCCTCATTATCATCCCAGTATCAACCCGTCCCGCGAGAAAGTTGAGAAGCCAAGCAGTCAAGATTTTGCGCGCCAGCTTCACAGACTTGTCAAATTAAAAGGGCCAGTGACACTTTGAGGCGGGCTCTACCAAAAACAGAGGATCTAAAAATGAATTATGTAAGATCTCTTTGAATATTTCATTTGCAGAGGAGGGCGTCCCATATGCCCGCCGTTTCCGCAGTCTCAGCCAAGACATCAATTGGATTGCCCTCACGCTGGCATACTGAATTAAAGGTAAAGTCGTCTCCTTCCATTTCGTTTTTTTTTTCCTCCCTCTGTTATCGCTATGCGCAGTGAACCATCGACTCCCGTGCGCGTCACAAAAAGAAAAGCTCCGGGAGATAAGGAGAAAGGAGGAGATCACGCGGTGATTGAATGAGATCTGCATTTGGCGAGTGGACTCGGATAAGATCAGCGTTTCATTGAGGATACGTAACATGCCGGAAGAAGAAGATCCATTTTGATATTGGTGCGGCTTATAAAACATCTTACATTATATCCACACGGGACTTCCTGAAAAAAAAAAACATCAATACAGCACAGTCCTAAGATTTACAACCGATAACAACAGGCATCGTTGTAGGGGACCTTAAAAAGCATTCGAAATTAACTTGGGTTTTATTCCAAATTACATTAGCGATACACTTAAAACGTCTAATCTCCAACTGAAAAGGAAGCAATTGAGGCGGCATTTCAGCACAATATTCCACAATCTATTAGTTTTACTGCTAATCACTTTTCCCTTCCATGCTGTTGCTTTTATTGACTTTTTAGCATAGCAGCAGTCTCTTGCTATTTGGCTGCATGTTGGCACTTTCATCTTCTCCCGTCATTCCCTCGAGCGAAAGAAGAAGAAGAAAAAAAAAAGCCAAAGGAATTGCTCCCAACAGGCCGGCTGATAAGTCATTCTCATAATGAAGTGCCACCTAAATGATATCCATCCCTGTTTCCTGGCCACAGCTAATTGTCAATATTATAATCATGTTGCAGGGGACCATGTTGTGCAGCTCATTTTATGCTGCTGAATTAAACAATAAGTAAATGGGGTCTTGAAGTGAAACACTGCACGAAGCATGATATTCAAGGCGTTTGTATTTTATAATGATCATCTTTATCCCATTTTTCGTCCAACCACACAGATTTCGGTTTTGAAATTTATTCCCCTCACATTCGTCCGTCCCGCTGGCTTGGAAGGAAATCCAGTTTCAAATATAACAAAGCCAATCACTATAAAACAATTTTGCATTTGATTAACTCAAATCTTGGACAGAATCATTCAAAAGTTTCTCTGAAGGGGGAAAAAAGTTGAATAATTCCTATAATCGGAATATCCATTTATGATGATATTAAATGTGAGATGTGAATATTAAGCATATGACTGACTGCAGAGAACGCAAATATAAGCCAAAGTGAGGGAAGCATTATAGAGGATAAAATGAACTGATTGCAGATCTCGAAATGTGGCGATGACAACCGCCAGAGATTTCCAAGTGTGCCTCCTCAGGAATAAAGAGCTTAACTTGAGCCTTTGTTGTGATTTTTAAAAAATGATGATGGGAGGGGGTGAATCTCTAAACAAGCTTTGCAGTTCCAGCAGTCACCACGACGGCTGTCAGCTTGATTGCCTTGGAAAGCAAAGCCGGGTGCTCATCATTTTTTTCAGCGCACCACAAGATGGGCGCTCATCATTAGGTGAGCCTCTGTAATCAGCCAGGCAGCTTGCAGCAGGATGATGTCACCTTCAGGTGATTCGCTCGCGACAAGGACCAAACCGCAACGAGGTTGGCGCCAAACCACGATAATTCCATAAATCTGGAGATGCGGCAGACCCTGTGGGCAATACGACTGATTTGATCGAATCCGAATGAAAAAGTCTTTGGTCATTCATTACTCATAAGGTTTGTAGAACAAAGCCAGGAGAACTTTTGTGCGCTTCTCCCACGTGTCCACCATATGCTGTGCAGTGAGAGTCGCAGATAGAAATATGAGCCCACAAGATAAAAGTTTAGCTTACATTTCCATTTTTTAAATGAACAACAATTACAACATTGCAATATGGACATGGAAAATTTTAGCATGTTGCGCAATTTTGCATAACAGTGAGCATCACTTTGAACAGAAAGGTTAGCAAAACTCATGCGAGCATAACACGACAGGTATCGAGACCATTATGCAAGTTATT